GCTGAATCATTTGCTTTCTCTAACGTCAAATCTATCTTCCTACTATTCGATCTTTTTATCTTAAAGAATGTGAATTTATATACTACTGATAAATCTTGTCATTATCACACGCCACACAAGTACTTGTCCAAGTTGCAACAACAAAGGACTTCGTTCAACATCATAGAAAAAAAGAACAAGCAGATCAGTGTTATTGTGACAAATTTCTGGTTAAATCCTTTGTGATTTAAGTCAATAATCCCTTAATTTACGGATAGAATGCATAAACACAACCTATTATTATTATCATTGTTCCCTTGGGTTCCTAGTGGAACATAGGGCTTAAACTACACTTCTCCACTTGCTTTTCCTGTACTTTCCACCTGCGTCAATGTTAATCCATACTGTTTCAACTCCTCTTCACACGATCTCCATGTCCCACTCGAGGGCATGATGCGCGATGTCACCCAGTGGCCTCCTCAGCGAGTGTCCAATCCATCTCCACTCTCTCCTGAATATTTAAACACAACCTAGCTTTATAATTATTCACCAAACCACAACAGTACAATGTTCTGCGAGGAACTATGAAGCATGTTGACTTCGAGTCATTTGTAAAATAACCCTGAATGAGGATTTTAAACTACTAGCACTTTAAAACCGATACAGTATGGCAATTCGAGTTGTACCTCCTCCATACATAAACTTTATATTTGAACTATTCCAGTCACCTATAAGAATGGACTGCGTATGAGAGTTGGTCACAGGATGAAAACCATTTTGTCGCCTATGTGGTGTCATGGTGAACACAGAAGTTCGGGATATGCCTTTTTCGTAATTTCGCCTATACACGAGTTGACACTGGAGTTCGGGTTTTATCATGAGCTGCCCAGTTAGTTACAGCAAGTAAAAAGCTTAGATATTGTGTCATGTGAGCGAATAATCTCAAGGTTCGTGTCAAAAAGATGAACCAGACAAGAGAATGCATACTAGAGGACGCCCTATGGAGTTGCCATGTCGACCAACCAACCAACAACAGTGATCACCTCTTACAACTCGGTTCGCAAAATCTCATCCTGATGAGCACTCATTTCAAACTTACGAAATATTATCTCATTTAACGACTACCGATAATATTCATTCTGAGGCTAGCTGGTTAAATTTCGCCTGTGTTTGCAAAGTCTGTGATCAACTGTAGGTGAAGAATTTGTAATAAATAATACCTGTCAAATATTTGTGTCTATCAGAAACAGAGGTTACAAAGGGTGAATGTATCTGTGCCAATGAAAACGATTTTGAGCTAGATCATTAAAATCCCAAGTCCGCTGATTCTTAGCATCGCGAAGGCACCAACTAGGTAGTCTACACCTCCCTAAGTGGCTCAAAACAACAGTGAGTGACTTAAATGATCGCTGCTAAATTTTGATCCAACCATCCCTAAATCATTTGCACTCTAATCCTACGTCAGTTAACATTGGTCGTTAAGAAAGCTGGTTGCTCGTCATGTGCAACACGTGATCTGGCCATCTAAATCGATGCATCTTTATAACCTCGACGATTGAGTCCCACTCCTAACATAGGAAGCTACCACCAACCTTGGTATTCTTCATGGTCATGTGGTCACAAACAGCCAGTTTCTTCAAGTCTTTCACTTTCAATGACTGTCCCACAGCTATAAATAAAGACGGAGGGAGCGATTGCACGGTACCTCAATTTTTCAGCAGGCCAAATCACTTCATTCCCTACCTTCAAACTTGGAGTCGATGCAGACCAGTTCTGTAGCATCACCTTACATTTGACAGGAACGAATCACATGCTAAACATCCCAAGACTTCTGCTCAAAGTGTTTGGAACACTCTGCAGACTCCTCACCGAGGAGTTTACCAGACTGTAACCTCGGTAACGAGCCAATCCCCTACAGTCGCACCCATCAGTGTATCTATAATGAAATCAAATAAAAACGGGCATCCTTGAGGGATATAAATCATTGTCGTTACTTCAAATGACAACTCTGCGTTAACATGATACAATAACACGGCAATATACTGCCACAGTATTTTCCGGTCAACATAATCAAATGCCGCTTTAAGGTCAAGAAACATGGTTAGAGTTGGAGGTAGGTATGCATGTGTTTCAGAATGTTTCGCCCAAGCACCACCTAACCTAGAACTTAATAAGGCTCATCCCACTACGATCAAACCGGAGATCGTCTAGTCTAGAGATATATCGATTCTCAGGGCCAATAGTCATACGAGGACTAAGTTAACCTTATGGGAAACAAACGTCTTCAGGACCATACGGGGTACATTAATCAGGTACTCACCATACGATAGGCTTTGGAACACGATTACAGAACGACGTCGACTTACCATAGTACTGAATAAAATAAGAATATCGGACTGCGTTGTTCAGAAGGTACAATAAAGGGTTGTTGGCGGGGAGCACTCTGCTCTCTACTCAAGTAATTATGAGTTTATGGAAAGTTATCGTCTGAAGTATAACGAACACTAGTTTTTTTGAGTTAGGAATGCTGAGGCGAAGACTAACTGCAGTAACGTACCGGCTTTATTTGACTACAGGGAATTGGCCTACTGCTAAAGTCAGTTGTCAGAACTCAATTAGTCGGTACAAATTTCTTATGTACTAAACTGCGAACCACCTTTGTTGCGTGAGCTGACGACACTATGTAGTGGTCTAGGCTAAATAGCTTTCCCGGGGTTTGAACTCACTGCCCATTTCCTGACAGAGGTCGAGTGATTAAGTCGATGAGCTTCACTTCCACTGATTCAAGTTCTAAAGAGCAGCAGCCCTGCTTGCACTTTGAGTTGAAATCTCAGTATGTCTGGAGGCTCGTTTCCACCAACCTAAGAATTGAAATATAACGTGCGAAGAGTAGGCGTTTCCTAGCACATGCCTTCGTTTAGTTTTCCGCACTAGATACAGCTTAGTGATGTTGAGAATGAATGATTTCAAGTAGGAAATGTAGACCAGTCGATAACAGACTGTGAATCGTCAAAACATGGCAGCGATTCTCAAAGTCTATGACTGTTGGTCTACGTCATGAAGCCAGATGTCGCCTCTGTAAATGGGGTTCAAAGTATACTAACAGCTGATGGGCAACAATGGCATTCCATCATACTGTAAAACTGTATGATTTTACAAAATAAATTTGCTCTACGGTGGAACTGAAATCTACCACAGTTCCATTCTTAGGTCACAATGGCACTTATTTACTCACACGCATCATCGAAATTCTGATCAATCGTCTATAAAGTAATCCTTTCTACTGTACACCTATGTCGGACGTAATGCTATTACAGATTCACTAGGTGTGCTTTTTTTTAAATACGGTAACTTGGACTTCCAGACATCTATGATGCGACAGACCGGCATACATATCATCGTATAACTGCACATAAGAGTATCTGCACATGTAGCTATAGTACGGAAAAGAATGCAAAAGTAGCCGAAAATAAAGAAAATTACAATGTGAATATATCTTAATTTTTAAAAAAAGGCGAATCCTACAGTATGAGATGATGTCATGTAACTTAACGGCTACACATCAGCTGCAGATATCTTTAAACTACAGTGGCTATAAAAGAACAGAAATAACTTACGCCAGTGTTCGAGTGACAGCAGATAGAATGTAACAAATTGGGTCATTCAAACTGTAAGCATCACAGTCTTCAAGTCGCCAACTCATTAGCATTTCAAAGCAGAAACAAAACGACGAAGAAGATATATAAACATACTATGTATGTTTCTGTTGCATAATGTCCTCTGTTACCATTCCAACATTGATATTATTTCTTTTCTTTTACAACCACTGTAATTTCAAGCGGTCTGCAGCTGATAAGAACATATTAAATGTGATATCATTTCATGCTGCGAATTTGGTTTTCCATACGCTAGCAAAAATCAGTAACTATGGCATGAGTGGGTAAACATTAAGTTCTTCAGAATAGGAATGGATACGGCAGTGTGACTGAGCATGGTCTTCAGCCACTCCACTAAAAGTTCATATTCGGTGATCCCTAGCATCCTTAAAGCTTGAGCCGGACAGTCTATACTCTGGTGGTATATGGCTTAGAACAACAGTCAATAACCTCATGCACTTGCGCCATGGTTGGGCAAACCAACTCTAACTAGTTTCGAACCTACCCTATAACATACGACACCACTCCCATGGAAGATGTTAGCTTGGCAAGCATATTCCATCCCAACAATTTCAATCGATTTGATTCAAACCTCTCAGCTATTACTCTAACTCAGCTTTATTGTTATCGCCTATTCGCTCCACTGAATATGAGATTACCTCACTCGACAGATTGAGGGAAGGCATCTGCTATGGAAAAATGCAAATCTTTCCATTATCTCCAACTTCCTACCAATATAGAAATAAAAAGAGATGAAATACAGCACAGTAAGCGCAACCGTTAACAAACAGACAGTGATTTATTACCTTATTGATTCACTTTGATTAATTTAAAAATTTGGCATTATAGTACCGTTCCTAGTTGGCTCCTCTTCCAATGGACATCACGTTCAAAAAGTACTAAAGTAGTGGCTGTTTTCAGGACACAGCGAGTCAGAATGATCTATGGAACACTACACATGTCATTTGATAGCCAACTAAATATTTCACGTCAACTACTCAAAGAATGAAAACAACGATAACAGTATGGGACCTCAAACTTGAAATCTGTTTACTTTTTTTTAAATTTTACTCCTCTGTGATTATGAAACTCAAAATGTTTGATACTGTAATGGTCAAACTGAGCTCTTCACCCGAAGATTTTTTACCACATTTCATGAGTATCTAAAATCGCTGACCTGCTTTAATTTCTTTAGATCGCACCAAGAAATCCTCGCATACTTTGGCACATCACATTCTTTAATATGCTCGATTCAACACCACTGTCATCTGATTTAGCATATGAATGAAAATTTAATTTAAACCAATCACAAAGGCTACTTAGTGATATATAAATGGCTAAAAAAGGCATTTAAATCTGTATAAGCTATAAGGTATTTATGAGTGGACTGCAGAAGCCACAAAATTGGGAGAAACTTACCATCCACTTAAATTAGTGTATTTTGCAGTAAATTCTACGGGACTTATATGGCACTGACTACCCAACTGAAAAAATCTTTCAGCCACTAATATATGTACATACAGTAAGTAGATTTGTCCAAACCTATTTCTGCAGCTAGTTTGCACAATATATTTAGGATGTCCATGTCACAAAATTCTACCGAATTCATATATGGAGATGGGAAAATCATTTTTAGATGTTAAATACTGCAACAATCAATCGCATTTAACGTTAAGAAAACAACCTGGAAAAATATTTACACTGACATTACCTTACAAAAACGATATGGTTTCTACACAGAGGGTGTGTGAACTACTTGGTACCTCATTAACAATGTGCAAACCTAAATATCATCTTACAGCACTTGACACGCTTACCGTAATTCCACTCCACATACAATAAACTTTGAAAACAAATATTTCATCAAAAAATATAGGACTTGCTCAGTATATTGGAATATATTCACTAAATGGTGCACACAAGCAATCTTTACAAGAATTGAACAGAAAAACTGACGATGCTTCTTGCAGTTCCATACTTCATACATTAACTCTAAAGATGTTGATCTGCAGAAATAGGCAAATAGGAAGGATTATAATAATCGATAACACCTATACTGTTTTCAAAGATCAAACTGAATATGGTCTAAAACATCAGGAAGTATCATTCGATTTGCATTCGGAAATGAAAGGCATTGGGTAGATTCAAATTTGTCGGAACACGGAGATAAATATATCGGCACCAGCATCCTAACAAATAACCCAATTATACCTAGTGAGTCTGAGCAGCTGCTGCACCTCCCGCTGCCATAGCAGCAATCAAAGCATGGTACGGGTAGTTGTTAGGGAGATGTTGATTGCCCATGTGTTGAGCAGCTGAGAGTTGTTGCGCTTGGAGTAGCTGAGCTTGAGCAACTGCTGGATAGTGCTGCATAAACTGCTGGGGCTGGCAATTTGGTTGGGGTATCATATGTGACTGTTGTATTTGTTGGGAAGTCATTAATGCAGGATCTGTTTGGTTTGATTGGTGTGGAATGCTAGCATTCAAAGAATGATTGTGTTGACCGACAATTGGGGATAGACCAGTAACATGACTTACTGTTCCCGGACCTGCTACCATTGCAGGTGCTGTGGGATAGAAAGCAGGTGGGTTCTGTTGTGGGGCGAACACCAAGTTATGCTGATACTGAGCAGGGACATTCGCGTATGCAGGTATTTGGATAGGGTGAGAGTGTTCTTGGAACTGCTGAGGAAATAGTTGTTGAGATTGCGAAGTTTGCTGAGGCGTAGTTGATGGAGTAGTGCCTTGATCTGACTGTCCGACAGGGACTTGTAGGTGTGCAGGCTGCATCTGCATCAATGTGTGAGTTGGACATACTTGCTGGTTAGAAGCTTGTGAGACATGAACACCACCAACCATCAGACCAGAACTGACAGCGGTAGGTAATCCCGATAGGATATGTACTCCCATTTGGGGATGACTTGACACAAAAAATGCACCATTCGGTTGAGGTAACTGGTAGACTGCTTGTGACTGGAACGCAGGTATAGACATTGTTGGCTGCTGGATAGCGTATGACGTGCAGTGAGTTACTGAAGACGGAGAATCATTTGAACGCTGACGAGTCAAACTAACGGAAGACGAAGGACATACGGAAAGGCGACCTGCAGAATTATGACCACTTATAACTTGAGGAGATGTAATAATCTGTCCCAGAGAAACACCCTGCCCCATTTGAGGCAACATATTGTGACCATGATTAGTGTAACTTTGTTGATTCATAGACGGCGGCAATGAACTCCCCCTAATTTGTTGATTTGTGCCTGGACCACTGGAGCAAACTGGAGGTAACATCTGCTGCACCTGTGCCTGATGCGTATATTGGAAAGGTGCGTACATGTGCTGACCTGCAGCAATAAATGCTGTCTGCCCAGGTAGTGGAGGAGCTTGAGAGATAACATTCATAGTGGATACATAATGCTGTGGAATTTGTATGCTTTGAGCAGAAAATGGTGGTAAACCTGATTGGAGTGTTTGAGCCATATTAGCCACCGAATGTGAGGTATAAGACAATCCCATTGGCTGAAACTCTGGAGCATTTGGATCTAGAGTTGACTTTTTTACTCGCTCCTCTGTCGTACTAACTTTGGTACTGGATGTCACAGGTGCATCTGATGTACTGCTTTTCACACATGATGCTGTTGTGCACACACATACAGGAGTTGATACTTCCGTCGGTTGATCATGGATCTGTTTAGTTTTATCTTTTTCACTTTGAATGCATACTTTGGATACACCATTAATTTGAGGGTTACCATCTGACTTTAACGCCTCTCCAACAGAAATACTTACTCGTACAGCCTCAGTATTACTAGGCTTATTTGACTGAATACACACCTGAGACAGCTGGGTACTGATATTAACAGTAGACTCAGGCTGAGACGCTGAATTCATACGATGATTATTCTTTATACTACGTGCCGCATTCTGAGTTGTACTGGGACGAACAACTGCACTATACTTCTCCTCTTCGTTTTCCATACAGATATCGCCTTCATCATCCATTAATCCCATTCCTGAGGAATTTTCCGTTATATCTTGTGCCAATTTTGCGCAGCGCGCTTCAGTTTCTGAGAAGTTGGGAGCAGAACGGTCGACAGGTGTCCTAACAAATAGGATTAGTTGAAACTATAACTTACGTATATTCTCGTAAATCCGGGTTGTAGGTAGAAGATACGGAGAACATCTTCTCATTCGTTTCAAACATTTCTACTGCTGAGAAACTCCCTTGATCAAGCAGAAAGTCCTTGACCCCATCTGATGAAGCGAAGAAAGGGACCAATTCTTTATCTGCTACAACGTTGCCAGCGGCACAATCTTTTGCGATTTCGCTGTCAGTTTTTATATCATCTGAATGGGGTATATAATCATAGATTCCACTTACTAACTAAGCAGTCCGACTTATTTATATTGCGAATTCGAATCATTTTAATTTCAGACCACAAAACAGTTTTGTCTGTTACATTCCTACGAGTTCCTTTGTCATTTTTCTGTGCAACTTGAGCATACGTCAATCCCAAATCAGCCTGAAAAATTACTCTGAGTAAACAGACATACCGAAGGAGAAATAGCTTTTATGACACCAATAACACGATCATTTTCTGTAGTTATAATCTCTCCTACGTTTCCCTACACATATGTAAATGTTAAAAGCCATGCTTACTATAACGTGACGTCCAAGGATGTAGGTGAGTCCGGGATTAGCGTATATCCCCAAACTTTCGTCAGAATTCTAAGGAATCCACATTGGTTTATTCAACAATACCTGTGTATGTGCCGCACGCGAAGCATTTGCAGGAATCGGCATACGCTGATTTCGTGTTCTGTACCACATTGTAGCTGAAATAAACGAACTTACCTCATCGACTTTATTTTTCCACGTTGTGACTGACCAGACATTATAAGCAGGAAGCTCAGGAATAAATACTTCAACGAAACAGTATCCAGAGAAACAGATGGTTGAATCGACAAGTAAATACAGTAAATGAATAACAAGCAGAATCGATGATCAAATCCTAAGCGAGAAAATCCACCGTTGTATGTTTACCGCTCAAAGAAACTTAAACAAGCGCGTTCATGCTGTCCAATGATAAATTTTCTTAAATTCTTCCAGACGCAGCGACACACTTTTATCTTTTAGAATAAAATGTCTTCATTCATATCTTTTATGGATTATTTAACTAATCTGAATTCCTGAAACTGATCAATTTCTATAACCAAAGGCATGTAAACCCATAGCAGTTTGAAACATACCATTATAATTGTTTCTTTGAACAGACTTTTGTAGCTTTGATACTTCTGTAGGTGCCTCTCCACCACACGCTTACTAAATGTACATTTCCAGAAATTGTGGTTGATTCTGCTGATTCATACGAAGCAATCTCTAAAACCATTGAAAACCAGGGATATCTGGACTGGTTTTCAATGGTTCTCTAACTGATATCAATCCGTGATCAACTCGTAAAAACAAAACTATTTTTTACAATTCATCCGTAGGAAATCCTTAAAACACTAGAAAAAATTGTCCAGTGAATTATTATTATTGTTCCCTTGCGTTCCAAGTGGAAAACAGGGCTTCAACAACACATCTCCACTTTGTTCTATTCACTGCTGTCCTCTTCAGCTGGGTCCACGAGTGACTATAATCTCTCATCTCCTCACTACACGATCCCCTCCACGTCACCCTAGGATAACTTACTTGTCGCTTCCCAATAGGGTTCTACTCGAGCGATAGCCTGGCCGCGATGTCATTCGACGGTCTCCTTAACATTTGACCGATCCATCCCCATTTTCCCCTACGTATTTGTTGGGCGATCGGCTCTCGTCTGTTGTTTTGTTCCCAGCTAACCAGCCAGAGTTTCATGTTGGTAATTCTTTTTGACCGGCCGGCTGGCCATTTGATCTTCAGTAGGGAGCTGGCGAAGGAGTCAGCTGTTGATGGAAGTCTGCTACTTGTTGGAAATACTCTTCGTGACACGCAGTTCGAGTTTCTGATCCATATAGAAGCACTAAATGACTGACTTCACATTCGTGTTGAACAGAATCCGAATCTTGTTCTTCATGCTGGCTGAGTTAGTGCAGAAGAATTTACAAACTGGTTTCAGGTTGATTAAGGTGTATCTCACCTTTCTGATTCTGGCTGGCTGGCCGGCTTTGACAACATCCGTTCCGACTGTCTGTGTTTGAAACCGTGCTTCCAAGCCGGATAAGTGGAGGAGGTGACCTCTGTTGAATCTCCCTCGTTGATAGTGATTGGTGCTGGTTGTTGTTGTTGCTGTTGGTTGTTTATCTTCATCACCTCCGTCTTCTCTATGTTTAACTGCAGTCCTGTCTTCGCTGCCTGCCCCTTCAGTCGGTTTGTTGGTTTTCGCCTGTAAGTCTTTCAGTTTGTGTGACATTAGACACAAATCATCTGCGAAATCCAGATCTACAGTCTCCTTATTGGTCGTCCAACGTATTACTGTCTTCTTACTCCCCATATTCGCATATTCCAGTCCATCACAATTAGGGAATATCAACGTCGGTGATAATAGCCATGTAGTCTTGTCCTACTGCAGTATTTACTTCGAACGCCTCGCTGAGTTTTCTGTTGTGGATCACCTGACACGTGGCATCGTCATATAGCCAGATGTTGAATGAGGTTGATAAAGATATGGGTCTTACACGCCGTAGTGTTGGAGCAGTATACAGTTCAATTCACAGTCAACGCTGTCTGTCGAAGGCTTCTTCGAAGTGGATGCAGTTGGGGTGGAGAGAGGCTTGACCGCCATTCTGTGATGATGATGCGCAGAGTTGCGTTTTTATCAGCACGTGCTTTGCCTTTTCTGAATACAGTTATTCTGGTGGGTGGTGGGGTTATGTTTCCAGTGCATTTTTTATTCTCTTCAGGATGATGCGAGTTAGTACTTTATTTGGCATGGAGAAGGGAATTATTCCTTGAGCAGATCTTGCACAGGTCCCGCTCTGCAGCTTGGCAATGCAGCCAGCCTTTCTTGCAATCGGTAGGCACTTTCCTTTGTTCCAAGCCTTTTGTATTTATGACGTGAGGACATCTGCGGCAGTCTCTGGGTACATTTTCAGTGCACTTGGGCGTTATCTGTTTAGTTCTGCTACCTTCCCGGCTGGCCCTTCAGTAGCTCGATTGCATTAGAAATTTCAGATCTCGCTGAGGAAGCGGTGTCCACTGGAAGGCGCCCCTACGAGCGATTCCCAACCGGAATTGCAGTGTGTGTCCAGCTGTTCTGAAGGACTCCAGCTTCACCTTGTAGGTATCTTAAACTAGACGATGGTCTGAGTCCAAATCTGCACCCCTTTTCGACTTTGCGTCCGGCAGGCAGGCTGCGTCTCCACTTATTTGAGCAACATCGAAATGAAGTCTGTCTGGTTTGTGGTGTGTCCGTCAGTTGAAATTCATGAAGCTGTGTATGTCCTTGTGCTTTGACACGCTGCCTCTGATCACCGAATCATTGAAAGCACAGAAGTCTGCGAATAATTCTCCGTTCTCATTCATTTCTCCAAGCGAGACCCTGTTGACCCATGATGAGTTCTCTTCCTGTATTTTCTGCTCCCACTTGAACTTGTTATTCATATCGCCAGTGAGGATTTTTATGTCACCATTTTGGATGAAGTCTATTATTGTTTATAGTTGTCTGCAAAAATCCTTCTTTTCTCACTCCTTGGTGTTTGTAGCATAGTGCGTAGCACTGTATAGTTTTTGCCTTCTCTTCCTTTTTGAGTTGAATCTTGCTGTCATGATCCTGGATGAAATTTTCTCCCACTGCACCAGACCTTTGGCTGCTATTAATGAGAGCCACTCAGCATGCTCGTGGTTGTCGCCTGGATGACCAGGTAGGAGTAGATTACTGGCTCACCAGTTGAAAATTTTGACGGTTCACATCCATTACATATGGTATCGCAGATTGCCGGCAATTCTATGCCATATTTTCTCATTTCTTTGGCCACCTTAGCAGCCTTCCCAGTTTCGTACATTGTACTGATGTTCCACTTCCCCACTCTTACTTTTGCTTACAAACGAAAGACCAACCTTGACTACCACCTCACAAACCTACCTGAAGTCCTCCTATGATGCAAAGAAATTGGTAAATGAGTCTAAACACATGTATAAAAAGGATACTCACGGATTATTTTATCAATATGTTGTCCGCTCACTGATACCACGTAGCCATTGTTTATCTATTATCCTAGTAAATACTAGATCAGTTCTAAACAAACACTTAGTACTGGGTACATTAGCTTCTATATGCAGACCGTCATTGATGATGATCACTGAGGCCTGGTGTACAAGTAAAATCTCCAATGACAGCCTAAGGATTGATAAATACAACCCTTTTCGAGGGGACAGACAGACATGTCGTGGGGGGTGGAACATTAATTTACTGTGGACAATCCATATGTGCAACCCATTTCAGTAACCCAATTCTGTCACAACTCAATGACTCGATCTGGGTTGAAATAAAAGTTGACAGAAGTGAACCTATACTTGCGGGTTGTGTGTAGCGACCCACTTCATCCAACAGCAACATTTTTAATGTTACAGCCAGTCTTTCCTTCAGTTATAAAATTATCGTAGGTGATTTCAACATGTCAGAAGTACCATGGTCTTCACTCTAAGGACCCCAAGGATCGTCACAGGAGGGTGGACACAACACATAAATCCACCCACTAGATCCGCAAATATCCTAGACCTTATTTTCACGAACAACATAAAACCATCCACAGTACATGTGGGACATGAATTTCCAGGTAGTGACCATAAAATAGTAGCGTGTTCTTTTGACATCTTTCATGAAACAAAACGCAGAGATGAAGCTGGCCAGACACCCATGAGATTGTGCACACATGCTGACTGGGAGTTGTATCAGTACCTAATTAGATGTTCTAATTGGGACTCGCACTTTTCGAACGAGTCCTTAGAGGCAATTCTCAACTAATTTTATCACAGTATTAACTCAATTCATGACGTCATTGCACCTGAGAATATTCTTAGCTTCAGATTCCCCCAAAGCGATCATATACCGACATCGTTTAGGAGAAGTCTACGAAAGCACTCAATAAAATACTACAGATATCACGACTTATCACCAATAATTGCTATTACATCCCTTCTCAAAAGAATTGAGGAGTTGAGAAATGTAGGCCTCAGGAACAAATAAATTCAGGCCACTCAGAAACCGCATAACTCAGGAGAAATAGCCAAACATTTCAAAAGTAGGTTGACGAACTGCAAAACAGCATTTCCGAAAAAGATATACTTAGATGGCATTACTTACGAAAATACTGAAGTGATATAATAATAATAGTATATTCTCATTTTTTTAACATGAGGGACGCCAGTTTACAGGCATCATCAATTCGATAAATTACACATACGATTAGTAAGTATAGTTAGTAATGATGATACAGTAAGGTACATATTTATTCCTACAAATATAGGACACAAAAGTTATACAGTCATGGATAGGAATTATTTAAGTTACATATTTAGATTACATGATCTACGGTTAAATAACATGGTTGCTGTCATTTTATCTTTAGTTCGTGGGAAAAATCTGATAACCAGTGATTCAATGGAACACATCAAGAAATATAGAGATATTGACTTCGCATTAACAAAAAACCCAATATGCGTTGGATGGATTACATATACTTGGGAAAATAAATAAAGCTTGAAGCCAATTCCCTCATAAAACAATAAAATGCGTCTTACAATAATATATTCCCACTTTATGCACTTGAGGGACTCCAGTTGACAGGCATCATCAATATCATAATAATTGACACATGGAGTAAATGCCTGAGACTAAACTTGACACTTTACTATAAGCTTCTAAACCACTTAGTTTTTACCTCTACTAATGGCACTCGACTTTCAGATGACAATGGCTACAAACTAAGACACACTAAGGGTACAGTAGCTATCGAACAATGTAAAACAGCCACCAGGCAAAAGTTTTACTTGATTAGGTATGCACAGATATGGAATAAACTACCAATGGAAATGCGTCAAGCAAGTACATTGGCCTCATTCAAAAAGGTGCTTAGTGACAAACTACAAGAGTTTGCAAACGATAGTAGTTCTAGTTCCTATCTGAGAGCCTCCGAAATTATAGGTCCATTTAATGCATAAGCTTAAATACTACACCTGTTGTTGTTTTTTGCCTATATTCATAATTCTAGATAAAACATTAACGGT